TCCTAAGTCATAAAACAAACATTATTCAACATATATAGCCCAAAATCACATCCAAAATACTAAATATAAAAGAATAAATATGATAATTAATCAATATGATAATTTTCATTCAAAATAGAGTAAACTAAATTGATAGACTTTCACAAGATAAATTCTCCAACTCTCAAGTATTTAGAGTAAGTGTCTCTCTCAAATTCATTCAAAAAGACTTTTTCAAAGATTTTAATGGAACTAAGGGAAAACATAAGGAATTATATAGATATGTTGGTGTAAAAGTAAAAAATTAATAGAGTATTTGAATAATAAAATTGGACACATAGGAAGACTATTACGACCCAAAACCTATCATTTTAAAATTTAAATTCTCTTGGTCTCTTCTCCTTTGTTCCTCTCATTCCTTTTCCTTTTTCTTCTTTTCTTTCAAAGCACATAGACAACAAACTTTCTTTGATAGAAACATGGACAACATGAAAAAAATTCTTTTTTTTTTTTTTTCTATTTTATAACTTGTGTCATGCTATTCATCAAACTTTGTTCATGTTATAATTAGGGGTGTTCATTATTCGTTGAAAATTTTAAAATCGAACCAAACCAAAATATCAATTTCGATGCGATTTTTTAAAAAAAATTAAAAAAAACGAACCGATATATAACCGATTTTCGATTTCGGTTTTGGTTTTTTTTTAAAAAAAATCGGTTAATCGAATAACCGAATTATTAATTTTTTTTTTAAATTCATGATTGAAATAGTTGAATGGAATCTTAAGTGGATTCATGTTCAAAAAATATTTTATGAAATTGAAGTAAATTATATATTAGTTCACTAATCAATGTTGATCATGCTTAAATTAATATTAATTTATTTTAAGAAATTTAAACTTTTCTCATCAATTATTTCATTTTTTTTTTTTACTTTTTTTTTAATCTCTTAAAACAAAAAATCAAAATAAATTATAAAAAATAGAGACCCAATTTGTTTCTCAAAACTAGAGGGATTAATTTATCATTTATTTTATAAAACTTCAAGAGTTGAAAATGTTCTTCAATAAATGAACTAAATTTAAACATTAACCATACAATATTTTATGTTGACCAATTTAATTATAAAATATTTTATCGGAGACAAATATAAGCAAATAAAAAAATCTTGAGTATTAATTACGAGTGAAAATCGAATTACCGAATAAAAAAATTGATATATTTCGAAACCGAGCTAAAAAACCAAATAATAATTCGGTTCGATTTTGGTTATTTTTTGGACAATTTGGTTAATCAAAAACCGAGCAAAAAATTTTAAAACGGAACCGAATTACCGAACCAACACCCCTAGTTATAATTAGGAAAAAAATCAACCCTTTTATTTTTTTCTTTTTCAACCTCCATCTTCTTCAATAACAAATCAACCCAAAACAAACTAACCGTTTTTTTTTCTTTCAAATTGCATATCCTCATACTTGTTCAAAAGCTCATACCACTAATAATTAAAGATATATATTAATTTCTAAAGTTGGATAACATTTTTGTTTTTTAGTTTAAAAGGTTTGTTAATGGGTTATACAACAAGAAAAGTCTATTAAACTCAAAGAGGTTCGTCAATAACAATTTATAGGATATGATTTTTAGGCTACAATAGCTTATTCAAAGATGACCTTTATCATATTTATGCATGAATGTGTCAATATAATCTAAAAAAAAATCAAGGCAAGTTATAGAGAAAAAAATCCATAGAAGAATATCACACACACAAAAAAAGAATAGAGATTGATATGAATGTTCAATCTATAAGCTTAACATCTCATCGACTAAACGTCTATCAAACTTAATCTACTACCATTCTAAAATCAGTTACTATACTAATCAATCTCAAGTTGTAAGTCATTTTATTCTGTCATGTTATGCAACTATCAAATTCAATTGATTTCTTACTTATACAAATTTTGACGAGCATTAAAAAGAACCTAATATGCATATTTTTTTTTTCAATTTTTTTTTCTCAAACATAAACACAAACGAACAATAAAAATAAAAATCTTAAATCCTAAATCCTCTCCTCTAATAATTAAATTTTACATTGTCCCTAATGTAAATTTATTTTTTAAAAAAAGAGCAACTAAATATGCATACAAAAGATCAAAAGACAACTAAATAAAAGAAACTGAAAGAGATAGAAAAGCAAATCCAATTTCTTAGGTTGCCTCTCAAGTAACACTTTTGTTTAACATCGTTGGTTCGACACCTTTATGTTCGTTTAACCATTTTAATATTAAAATGTTTGGTACTTACACATTGTTAGGTAATTTTGGTTAGATTATTGCACACACAATCTCTTCCATACTTACTCTCTCATCACTTTTCCATTTATTCTTATAATGCATAGCTCTTTAAAAAATTTTGCATATCGAGGCGGTTGTTTTATTGCTTCCAACGGAGATATGTTAACTTTTACTTGCTTAAAGCTTTCAAAGATCTCCTCTTCTCGTTCTTCTTTCTTAGTCTTAGTCAATCTGTTAGGAAAAGGTGGAAGATTAGCTTTAAAATGAATTGAAGAGATAGATGTTACCTTATTATTATTCATAGACTCTTTATCTAGCATATTTTCTTTCTCTATCTCTTCTTTGTTTGTTGCAATTGAAATTGGCATTCTTTGTTCATTAACTTCCTTCTCACTTCAAAGTGTAATTGACCTCACATTTTTCTTTGGATTTACAACTATTTGGGAAGGCAAAATTTCTTTAGCTTAAGCTTCAGATGACTTATGGAAGTCTCGTATTGACTATTCTAATTCTTTAAATTTTGAATACTAGCCCTTGTCTCTAACTGAAATTGCTTGTTGTTAAAAATAAGGGATTTAACTATATCCACTTACGATGAATTCGAATTTTGAGAGGTAGATTGCGTGTGTTGGTAGGGCATAGGTTGCTTATTTAGAATTAAGCTCTACCCTTGTTTATTACCTCCATGACTAAGATTCGAATGATCTCTCCAACTTGGATTATATGTGTTAGCATAAGTATCATATTGTCTTCGTTTCAATAAAAAGTAGTCTATTGTATTAGCATGCTTAGTTTCAACTCCATCTTAAAAAATTAAGAACATGTTAGTCTAATGTCTTGTTATCGAGAAAAGATATCAAAAGAAACTTAAAAACCCCAATAAACGATTAAATTTGAGCCTAAGAGTGTGAGGTCAAATCATGGTTTTTTTTTTTTAAAAAAGGTATAAGCTCATTGCCTAATTCTACCAAAAACTAAAAAAAACCTAACCTAATTTATCTAAAACACCTTGAAAATCAAAACACAAAACTTTGCAAAATGAATATCAAAGTACCATTATTATTAAAGTGCAATAATAAAACTTATAAAAAAAAAAAAAACAAAATCGATCAAAAGCCGATCTATAGCAACAATGCCAAAATTTTGATGGATGTCGAATATACTAAATTTAATTTACTTATTATCTTCACTAATATTTGTAGCATTGGCAAGTTCGGGTCAAATGCTAGGGATTGGAAGAACAATTTTGTTATTTTTAGAAAAGGAGGTTTTGTTTGTTTGTTTATATAGAAAGATTAAAACTTTAATTAAAGAGACCTTAGTTCAAGGAAGAATTTAAATAATCGATTTACAAATCGATTATAGACACCTAAATTATTATCCTCTCATATAATTCTTAGCCTACCTAGATTTACCTAGAACTTAAAACAAATCCAAATTGTCTCTATATTAATTAACTCAAATGACTCCTTATGAATTAAATTTTATTATAAATTAATTTTGCTATTAAATAATCTTAGTCCATTTAATAATAGCACTACGAATAAAAAAGATAGCTAATATAGAATAACAATCTAGGACCCCTAAAATTATTTAATTTATTATCCGATTTTCCTTAAGTAATCAAACCTAATTTTTTTCTTGTACTAATTTTTTATAACAATTACAAATTAAAAAAGTTAGCTATAAATTACAATAGACAATTAATCAATTGGCCACTTAGACAATAATCTATGCTATTACAATTAATTAAATCCAGAGATCAATCAATAAAGCTCAAAGAAACAATATATACTCAAATTATCAAGAATAGTTTAGAAATAAAACTCGTGTCTCCAATCTTTTACAAATTGAAGTTGATATTTCTAGAACTAAATTGGTGAAATTAGTTAAATATTATTTGAAGCATAAAACTAGAAATTATGTAAAAGAAAAGAGTTGCTAACTATCCAACCCTTTTAGATTAGTCTTCGAGGCTATTTATAAATGGAAAAAGATAAGTTTGACAACTAATAAATCTATCCGATAAACTTTACTCTCGACTTGTAGGATGAGACTTTAAATTCTATGTTGGAAATTCCAAACTTATTTCGAATCGGATGGCGAGTTGATTTTAGAGTTCTCATAAAAGTTGTAGGCCTAGATGTCTAATTTCTGCAGAATTTAGAATCATCTCAACAAAATATTAAAAACTCTAAATATGGTCCATACACCGATCAATATTTCGAATTATCGCGGGATTTGAATTTTTGCCCTAATTTTGAAACCAACTTTAACAAGCCAAATTAGATTGGATTTGTGTATTTAAACCCAATATAAAAAGCTTAAGATGTCCAATTTAATTATAAAGAAGTCCTTTTTTATGTTCTAGAGTTCTAAAAATATAAAATTTTTGTATCTTCCTTTGAAGATCGATCTGCTAGTATTAAAATTTTATCTTAATTATCTCACTTTTGCTTTTTTATCTCCTATCTTCTCCAATCAACACATATAATCTAAAGTCCCATCTAAAAAGCTAAATATAAACGTATAAAAATAATGAATAATGCTCACTGTCAACAGAAACAATACCAAACAGGTAGACGATTACGCTATGACAATTGCAACTGTGATATTCGCACTAGGGAAACTTGTCATGCCATGATAGGGTACCCACCTAGTTGGAGCAGCTATGATAGTCTCGTGTTCCTACTGTTAATTCTCCATTTAATTCTTTTCCACACTTCCATGTCATCATCTCCAGCAACAGCCCATAGACTTGCATCACTAACGTCACAAGCAGCAGCCCATCATTTCACACCTTTAACCCAAATGGGATTGATAAAAAGCTCTTATGGACTTACGAATCAAAGCCACACTAATGCATCTCTAGCTCCTGAGTCAACTGGGCTGCCCCTACAGGCTTCAGCACAAGGCTTACCGTCTCACCTTACTGCTGCACATGTCTAGCAGATTGCCAATCTTTTTAGCTGCCAATCATGATCCTCCACTGGCCCGTCTGCTAATGTGGTCTCTTAGAATTCTTTTGGTAAGACAAACTCAGAGATAATTAATATAGTATCACGGATCAGATATCATGCAACTTTGATTCTATGATTAATGTCTCTCTCAATCCACTCATTCCATCCGTCTAAGTTCCTAATGGAGATTGCATTATAGTTCGATCTTTGGGCTGAGTATGCTAATGTGGTTAAAATGCAAAATGGGCTATATTATCTAGAACCAACAAAGGAAGAGAATACTTATGGCAAAAGGTTCTATAGAGGCAGACTTTTGGCATCGATGCTTGAGTCACGTACCAATGAATCTTGTATTGTTAGTTTCAAACTTATTTACTTTAGTCGATTCTTTAGAAAAAAAAATTATGATACACGTTGTCTGGCAAAATAAACTAGACTACCTTTTCTAACTAGTATGAATACATCGGTTAATAATTTTGATTTCAGTTAATAATTATGACACTTCGTTCATTTAGAGTCACATTATTTTCTTACCATTATTGATGATTATTGACGATTGCAGTCAAGTTATATGGATTTTTCTCATAAAACACAAGTTAGAAACCAAATATTATGTTTTGCTATTTTTTAACTAAGTACAAACACAATTCAACATCAAAATAAAAGTTTTTTGTACTAATAATGGATTTGAATTCAACCATACTGAATTGATGAATTATTATTTTCATCATGAAATGATAAGGTATATTACTTGTATAGATACCTCTCAACAAAATAGTATGATGGAACACAAATACCAAAATCTTTTGAAAATGACTAGATTTTTACATTTTAGATCCATTTATCGATCTATTTTTAGGGAGAATGCATCTTGATCACGGTATATCTCATCAATTGCATACCACTTTATGTTATACACAATAAGATGCTTTATGTACTTTTATTTAATTAGGTCCTTGACCATGATCATCTATGAAATTTTAGAGTTTTTTGTTATAGACTCATTTATACCAAGGTTCGAGACAAATTTGCTTCTCGCAGTAAGCCAATAATTTTCAGGGGCTATTCTCATGGCCATAAATGGTATAAAATATTTGATTGGGACAACTACCAAATATAGAACTCGCATGTTGTGTAAATTTTTAAAGATATTTTTTCGTTCAATTCTTCAACTCATTCTGACAATCTTCCAGTTGTGAATAGGGCCAAACCATTTTTACATAGGCTGATGCATTCATACCTACTAGGCCACTCCATTATGGCTGGGTCGAGCCCATTAAATCTCACATTATAGACACGTAATAGGCCCCAAGTGTGCAATTGCCTCCATTTTTTTCTCTTGAACAAGCTGTAGATACTGGACCATTATTAGCCATACGAGCTCCAGATGTGGCATTATCTCACTAAACTGGATCTTTTATCATTACTGGTAAGTTCGTGTGTTGGGCCATGCATAACTAGCCTACCATGGTAGATTCTTCTTCACATGGGTCCTACACTACAAACCAGTCCATTATGGAAAAATTCCAACATCTAACCCTTACTCCTGCACAGCAGCCCTGTCTCACGAATTTCATTAATGCTCGACCCTCTGATACTGGTCTTCTAAATTGGGCTTCTCATAAGCATTCCTTAGATCAAATGAACCCTTTCAGATTTAGATTCTAGTGGATTTATATATTCCTCTTTGGATAAACCATCACCTTGTGTCTCCTAATGTCAAACATCTCTTAGGTTTCTATTATACTTTGCCACCATCCTTCTGGCCTCTCTCCACCTTGCATTCTAACTACCATTCAACTAACACGATGGTACATCTTGTACCTCATATCATTTTATATTTTAATTTTTTTTTTAACCCATCATGCTTTTTTATCGGCCATCTCTTCTATCAACGAGTCTATATCTTTTTTTTCAAGTAGTTTAGCATATTTAGCACCAGGATATCATGGTCAAAGAAAATTTTATTTTACAAGCCAATCACATTTGAACACCAATTCACTTACCATTTAAAAAATGAGCTATTGATTTTAAATGGGTCTACAAGTTTAAATTTAACCTAGATGGCTCTATAAAGAGATATAAGACTCGTCTTATAGCAAACAAATACATCTAGATCGAGAGCATTGATTTTCATAAAACATTTGAACTCGTGGCTACATTAGTCTTCGTTTGTCGTTTTTTTGCAATTACTTCGTATCCAATTAGGAACTCCACCAATTGGCTATCAATATTGTTTTTTTATATGGTGATCTTGAGGAGAAAGTCTACATGAAGATTCCTCATAGTTTTGCTAAAAAGATGAACGAGTGAGTTTGTCGTCTTCAAAAATCTCTTTATAGATTTCATTAAGCACCTCGAAACGGGCATCAAAGGTTCACGTAGTCTTCATTGGTTGTGGGCTTTATTCGGTCTTCGTCCGATCATTCTTTATTTACCTTTTCTCAACATCATTCATTTATGATAGTTTTTATTTATATTGATGATGTGATTATTATAGGTACTAACACGATTAAAATCTCTTGGCTCAAATAATATTTAAATTCTAAGTTCTATATTAAGGACCTTAGAAAGATCAAAGATTTTATTAGCTTTGATGTTACACACTCTCCAATTAGCATTGTATTAAGTCGAGCACAAGCATATTCTTGATATTTTAGCCAAATGTGGTTTGACTAGTTACAAATCATCTTTCTCACCCATGGATCAACATCATAAAATTTATCTTGATGCTAGTCTTCTTTGTGCTTGATTTCGATCAATATCGCTCTTTTGTTGGTCATTTGCTTTATCTTAATATCACCCGTCCTAATATTAGTTATACGAGTATATGTCTTGAGTCAATTCATACATAGGCCACCCCAACCACATTTTGATACTACTATCAAGCCTTTTTGCTATCTTAAAGGTGCTCATGGACATGGCATATGTTCCTTTTGATAATTGTAGATTGTGTTAATTGTCTAGTTACTCTTCAATCCACCCTAAGCAATATGGTATTTCTAGGATCTTTACTCTTTTCTTAACGATAGAAAGAAAATTAAAATTTATCGTATCTTGCTCATCGGCCAAAGACGAGTATAGGGCTTTAGCGACTATTGCTAATGAGATTATTTGGCTTGTATGGTTACTTTCTAATTTAAGCATTTGTTTTATTAGTCTTGTTTCTTTATTTTGTGAAAATGAAGTTGTTTTTTATATTACTACCAATCTTATTTTTCACAAACACACCAAGTATATCGAGATCGATTGTCACTTTAGTTGGCCACATATCTAGTCCAAGGTATTATTCTCTCAACTAATCTTTACTAAGTACCGGTTAGCGGACATTTTCACTAAGGCTCTTAGACGTGATCGCTTTCAAACCTTGCTACACAAGTTGGACATTTCCAATCTGCATTCTCCAACTTAAAGGAGAGTAATAGTGATAGTTATCTTCTCATTAATATAAAATATTTTATCATTATTACATAATATTTTGTATTAAACATAATCCTTGTTCATATGAATATTTGTATATTTCATAGCTTTGTTATAGCAATTAGTTAACTTATTTAACCTAAATAGTTGTATAAATCTTCTCTTATTTATTTGTAATACCACACATAATGACATTTTCTCATTCTTTGTAAAAATACTAAAGGAAAATGCATCTTCCATTCCATCAAAAGAATCCTATTAGACTTTTCATAAAGATTAAGAAAATGCATTAAATACAATATCAATTCATATATATTTATTATATTTATTAATTTTCCTTTATATAGTTGATGTAATAAAATATGAATTCTATTTTTAAAGAGAAGTAAAATAGTAAAATTTAGTATACAATTCTTTGATATTGATAAAAGACATATATATTGAGACATTAAAAAAATGACTTTTTATAGAACGAAAGGAATAATATTTTAACAATAAAATATATTTGTATTTGTCATGGATTCTTTTGTGCTAGTCTTAATGAAGAAGACTTTGAAACAAAAAGGTTAAAAGATGATTGGAAGATAGTCCGCAAAGCACTCTATCTTTCAAATTTTGAATTAGACAACTGGAATTATCAAGCATGGTTATCCTACTCGTTGTTCCTAAAGACATTTCAATGCTTAAAATAAAGAGTAAGTACTATCTATTAGGAATGCGATGACCTAAAATTCCCTTAGAAGGGTTTATAGATTGCCCGGGATGCCCGGACTATAAGATTGGAAGGCTAAAATGCCATGAATAGGGTAAATAGAAATTAATGCCTTAAACAATTATAATCATATGCCATAAGAACGATCAAACTAAATTGAAAAACAAGCAACTTAACTAATAATAAATATGTAAATTAAAAGCTCAAAGTTGAACAAAAAACTAAAACTGATAAATACTAAATCAAGAGTTCTTTACAAATTACAATAACTCTAAAATATAGAAATTTACAAACATAAGCATTGATAAGCAAGCACCAAGTAGAACTCCAAATATTGATAGAAAAGATCTCGCATGTATTGTAACGAAAGTGAAAATCGAACCAAAGATGAACTACTAGTGTGACACCCCCACTCCGAGTCCACCCTCTATTACCCAAATAGAAGTGGCTAAGCGAGGTGCATCACATTGATACAATCTAATCCCGATTTAACTCTTATATGTACTTGCTTAAAACTTACTACATGAGACATACGAAACGCATAGAAAGAAAAGTTACATAACCGTCACAAATATAATTACATGTTGGGATACGTATATGAAAAATTACATAACATGAGTCATTACGGCGAAAGGAATTACAAAAACAACATGTACGAGCTATTAAAATGTCTATCGACACCCCGACCCAAAACGACAAGTAAATTAAACTTCATTACACTTGTGTCACGTAGCGACCTTTTTGGAGGAACCGACAGACATCCTTACTAATACTACCATCGCTTTTACTGTCATGGCATGCAACAAAAAATAAGGTGAGTCGAAGTTCGGTAAGTAGGGTGATACACATGT